GCAAAACAACTTCAAAAAGCTATTAAAACTTCTCAAAGGGGTAGGAGAAGGAGCTACATGGCTCCTGCAAAGGCTACTCAAAAAAAGAAGCCTATCGCGAGGCCTCAAGGTGGTGAGGAGCCTCAGGGAGGTGCTGCAAGCTCACCACCTCCAACCTCGCGTCGCGGCCGCGCGATTAGAACTCCGTCTCGATTTCTATAGCTGTATATATATATTAAAGCCTATTGATCTCACCACCAAAATATATCGTGATAATATCTATTTGGTGTGGCTCTATAGCCTCGTTTTTGAGGTAGTTTTGGTGAGGCCGCGCGCGCACTTTGTGGTCGCGCGCACTTTGTGGTGGGGCTAGTTAGGGCCAACAGGGTCGCAGTAGCGGGCAGCTAGCAAAGAATTAGCTAGATCTTTGATAGCAGAAAGGCGCAGCGGAAATCCTCTTACATTAAGATCAAGAATATTCTTAACAATTACCTCCTCTTCTGTTATAAGTAGTTTTATTAAGTTAGGCGAACAATCTTGTTAAGAAGGCTTTCCTGCGAGTCTTCGTCTTACGGTACGTTCAGGCACGTTGTAGAGAGCTGCAGCGCGTGGAATGTTAATTATCGCGTCGCATTTAATAGCCTGAATTGCAAGCTATACTTAAGACTCTTTAAAAGACTTTTTTGAATGAATTTGTTAAGACATCGCGAGTAGTAGTGAAAGTTGATGGGGGCTTGGCATTTTCGGTCACTCGCTATTCTCGGCCACTCGCTATACTTTGACGTTATATAATAGCTTTGTAAAAGTAAAAGCTATAGCTAAAGTAGAAGAAAAAATATGATATCTTATATAGTTAAGAACAGTGAAAAAGTAGAAGTAATATATAACTTTCTATAGTATATAACTATTTAAGTAATATTAAAAAGCTTAAAAACAGTATTATACTAAGTATATGAGCTAGTATGATATGATGAAAAATCAGCTATAAAACAAGTTTCCAAATTTGAGTAAAGAACTACATCATTTAAAAAAGTTAGTGAAAAATAAATTAAATAAAAAAAAGATTTTTTTAACTACTTATTAGTGAATATCATTCAAGTATTGATAAAAATTTTATTAAAAAGTACTAATAGTAGTACTAGCTAAAAGGTTAAAGTTAATTTAAGCTAACGTGGTTCACAAGTGAGTCGCTAACCCAAGCGAGTCGCTAACGCCCCACCACTACATCTACATCAACACGTTATCACAGTTTTTTATCACAGTCAATAAACTATTGCGATACACCAAATTAATTGTTAGAATCGCTACTATCACTTGCACTATTGATCTCAACTACGCAGGTACGAGCGTTGTGTCCAGTCTGCTTGCAACGCCCGCACCGCCGCTCTCCTTGCACCCTCTTCGACACACTCTCACCATCACCACGACTGCTACCCGCCTGTTTAGCTAATACTTCTTGTACTTTGCCTACAGTAAGAGTCTCTTCTGTCCGTACGTATCGCCGCTTGCGGCTTTTACGCTTATTTGACTCGTCAAGAGTCGCTTAAAGCGTACCTATTTCCTCCATCATAAGCGTCATTTTATGTGCCATTTGCTGGGCCCCCTTACTTAGCTGCGCGATCTGCTTAGTGAGTGAATTGGCAGAAGATCTACGGCGTTTTCTTATGCTCTTTTGAATGAGACTAATTTGAGACTTAACTTCGCGCGCGTTGCGTGGTGTCTGCGCCTGCTAGGCAGCGACCCGTCGTGGTGATTGACGAGGTGTCTGCACCACTACATCAAGCTTAGATAGCACAGCCTGTGGGTCGTGTGGGACTGGACCAGCACCTCTAAAGCTAGCTTGGATATTCTCCTTCGTGATAGACTGCTCAAAAGCAGCCTTAAAGGCTGGTAGGAAGGTTTCCTTGCTAATATAGTGGGTGCGGTTGCGTGCTAAGCCTAAAACAGCGTCGCCATACTTGCGCTTCAACGGCGAGAAGCAGGCGACGTTAAGGAGCTGTAATAGGTGAGACGAGTGTGGAGGCATGCAGAGAAGAATAATATTCTTCTCCTTGCAAAGATCTTCAAAATCGATAGAGCAGTGGCTCTCATGGCCGTCGATAATAAGCAGTTGATACCTACCTATAGTATGCCTCTTTGTATGGGTATTAAAGTGCTCTAACTAGGCAAGACTAAGCTAATTATTCGTCTAGCTATTAGGACTGACTTCAAGAACCTAGTTGGCAGGCAAATCCTTAAACTAGACGTTGATAAGCACCTTGCCCGCAAAGACAACGAAGGGTGGTATTTAGCGACCCAACGCGCCCACGACTTGGATCACAGTAACCCACTCACGGTTGCCTAGCTGTATCTGCTTCTTTTTCCTATCTTCTTCTAAGCTTGTAATTAATAACTATAATAAAATCTTGCCTATTATAAAGCTAGTTTTGTTAAAGTTGTAGATATCGTTGTCTATAATACCCCACTTCTGCCTTGTCGCCTAGACTAAGTCAAACCAGCGCTAGATAGCCACTAGGTCCTCGCAGGCGGCTCGCTAGTGATTATAGGGACGGCTCTAGCGCGTATGGAGCTCAGCAGTCCGCCTAACAAAGTTATTAACCTAGTTCTTGCCAACAGGGTTGCCACCACGCTCCTCTAATAGTTTATTGGCCATTGCTTGAACCTTAGCCTTTGTAGGCGCAAATCCTCGCGCAGACTCTTCAAGAATACGCCTAACAACAGCCTCCTCTTCTAGCTTATTCAAGCGCTTTAAATTTAGTTCGCAGTCGCGTTGATAGTGTCTTCTAGCGCGTCGGTAAAATAAAGTTATTTGAGTGACGCTATAGATCTTAGCAGCACGTTTAACACTCTTTACACGTTAGGAATTAATATTAGAAATAGCAAGTTAGATATTAGCTTTAGAAAAAGTTTGTTAAATCTAATGTGGTTAAGACATAACGCGTTGTAGTATGAACGTCGACGCGCAGGTGGGGAGGTGTCCGCTCGCTAGGGGTGTCCGCTCGCTTGTGAACCACGTTATAGCATTAAATAATATTAAAACAATATATAAAAGTCTAAATGATAGTTATAAAATAAAAATCTAAAAGATAAACAACTATATATTCATACTAAAAGCAAGATATAATAAAACTAAAGACATAGGCATTACTTAGGTAGATAGATAGCTAATAGTTTTAGTAATTACTATAGTTTAATAGCAATTTAAATCAATAGAATAGAAAAGTAAAACAATCTTAATAGTATTTATACTACCACTTATTGAAATATTAGCATTAAACATATATAGCATAAAGTATATAGTTTTTAGTAAAAAACGATAGTAACCAGATTATAAAAGGAAAAGCAAAATAAGTATTAAAGAAACTATAACTTATATAAGTACCAACTAAAAAAACCTTTCTTATTAATAAAGCTATAAAAGGACATAAATTAAGAAAAGATTGAATAAATCAATATTAAGAATAAGTAGTATAGACTTAGTTAAAATAAAACTCAAAATAGAATTAACAGATACTATAAGAGCAACGTTAGAAAGCTTTAAAGACTTTAGTAGCTAAGATACTCTAGCCTTTCTATAAAAGATCAAACTCTTGATAGTTTTTTAGAAAATAGCGTAGTTTATAGATTTGTTAGGCTAGAATAATAATATTAAGCTTATAATCTACCTTCTACTTCATTTAGTAAAATGTATCCCTATATTTAATAGAAATGATATCATAGCTTTTTCAACATAATATGAACGAATATAAAACTATTATAAGTTTTCAAAGGAAATAAAGATTAATTAGGTAGTAGCTTATTATAGAACCAAGTAGTGATTAAATATGTAGTCTGTTGAAGAATATAACGAAGCTATCAATAATAGATTTTAGTAAGACTTTTAAAAAGCTCTTAAAACGTTTTTCTATACTTATTATAAGTACTAGTAAAAAGAGTAAGCTAAATACTTCTAATAATAGCTAGTATACTATTAATAGTATATAGAAACAGTTATTTCAGAGTATTTAAAAGATTCTAAAATTAAAAGTAAAAAATATATTAATACTAAAACTATTGAAGAAGATAGGCGTAGTTTCTACTGTATTAAAGAACTACCTTTTAGATATACTATAAAAGTTATAAAGAAGTTTAATTTAAAGGTAAAAGAGCTAATATCTTTTAACTATAAGAAGATTTATAACTATTTAAAAAAGCGTGTAGAAGTAGTGAAAGAAGTAAGACTTTTCAACTTGGTAAAAGCTATCGAAGACATAAAGTGAAAAATAAAATTTACTATTAAACTTTCAAATAAAGCTTGAAAAGTCTAAATAGAGTAAAAAGAGGTTCTATCAGTATAGCCTCATCTCTTTTAATCAAGCAACTTTAATGAATTTAGTGAAAAAGTAAAATAAAATAAAAGTTAGGAAAAAGCACCTTTGGAATTAATACTAATTGGAGTAGAAGTTAACTACTTTATTAAGAAATTAATATAACTTATAATTGATAAAGCAAGCTTGAAAGTAGAACTATAGAGTCTTGTATAGAGTTATTAAAAGGCTAAGCTAATAAATGATTAAATAATTCGTAAGAAAGTTAGGCGTAAAGCTAATAAAAGAATATAACTCTATTAAGCTTACTACTTTACTCTAAGTAATACTTAGAATATTTTCTTCTAAGCTAATCACTAAAGCTATAAGGACCAGTAACCTATCTAAAGCTAATAAAATAGTAGTTAGTAATAGTAGAATACTAATAGCTACTACTTTTATAAAAAAATCATATATAAAAAAACCTTATACCTAACAGGCTTATTAATATAAGCTAGATCTACTTTGATAATAGGAAGTTACTTAAGTAGAGAATGAAAAACCTCTTATAAAAAGAAATTATAAGCTGAATAAGAAAAGCTTAGTAAGAACTCATTATTATCAACAATATTAAGTAAAAATAGCTTAGAAACAAAAACTCAATATCTACCCTATCTAGGTTTATAAAAGATATTTATCTTGTAGAGGTTATCTAAAATAATCTAATAACTATTTAGCTACAGCCTAATAATATAAAGATACTTATAGTGCAAGAAAAAGAGACATAATAAAGCTTATTAAGCCTTTTATCTAAAGATAAGTTAGACTTAAAGCTAACAATGATAAGGAGTTACTAATATAATATATCTATATTAGTGGTAACTATTACTAAGCTAGTGAAAAAAAAGCTATATCTTATAATTTAAGTAAAGTAGAGAAACTATACCCAAAAGGTTTTCAAAAGCAACTGAACCTAAAGTATATACTATAGAAAAAAAGCTATAATAACTATAATAAAGATTGCTATACTAGTATTAAAAGAAAAGATGAATTAGTTCAGTTTTAGTTAGATATACTAATATAAGACTAGAAAATAATAGATATAGAGCTTTAAAAAGATAATTTTAAAGTAGCTCTCAACTATTACTCATAGATAAAATGACTAATAAGAAGATACTAGATAGTAGAGCAATTTATACTAAATACTTAGAAAGTTATTTAAATGATATATATTATACTGTTAACTATCTAAATATAAAAAATACTAAGAACTACTAGTAGTATAAAAAAAGCTCTTTTAAACTAGTTTTATATCAAAAAAAGTCAAAATACTACAGATTAATACAATTAAATAACGCTTAAATTCTATTAAATAAGATATATAAAGTAGAGTTAAAGAACTCATAGTAGAAGCTAATATAGCTAAGCTTAGCACCCTTTTTAACTACGTGTTAGTAAAATCTAAAGGCAAAGATATTACTAACTACTTCAGCCTTAGGGCTGACTACTAGTTAGACTCAAGAATTTGCAATATATAATGATGAATTAAGGAAAATAATATTAAAGGAAAAGATAAAATTAGGTTTAAGATTTCTAAGACTTATAATAAGATAGTAAAGATAGAATATCATAAAACAGATTACCTAAAGGTGCCTATAGATATTGAAGATTGAAGCTTTTTATTACTTTTTAATATAGAAGCTTAACTTAATAAAATATACAAGAATACTATAAACTATATAAGCTTCTTAATTACATTTTTACTAAAAAGTATAGTATCTACTGTGCCAAGGCACAGAGTCACCATGACCCTTATGCTAACTAAGCACTACTTACTTTTAGGGAGGAATATAAATCAGTAGTTAAGTCTATAGAGAAGATTAATTAACAATATCTCTTAGAAAAATCTCTTACTTAAAAAACTAACTACTTATATTTTACTCCCTCTTCTCTCTCCTATAGCCTATAAGAAGGGGAAGAGCCTATAGTCCTGTTCCCTCTACTAAGAAGACATCGCAGTTCTACACTACACCCCTATAAATAGCGAAGCTTAAGAGGCTACGTTTAACTCCTTAGTAGATAGAATAGCTAATACACACTAATAGCAAAGATAAGGAAGATAGCAATACTACTTAAGGTAGTAGTGGAAGTGCCTCTAACTCTAAGAAGAAGAACTAGAACCTATTAGAAAAGAAGAGAATCAGGTTTGCTTAATTTATTTTAAGGAAGTAAAGGCGTGTTATTAGTATAACAACTAAGCTACTTTAATAAAAGAATATAGGTAAAAGTTAAGAAGATTTAGAAACAAAATCTATTAAGAAAGAAATGCTAATTTAAATTAGCTAAGCTAGCACTTATTTAAGAAATGCTAAGCTAAAGAAGCTAATAATAAAGCATTTTACTAAGGAAATAGAAGAGAAGTAGAGACGTTATTATAGGCAGGAGTAAGAGAAGCTCTAGCATGCCCTAGCTATCTAAGGAAGCTAAGTCTTATAGCATTACGTTTAAAGAATAGAGAATTCTTATTAGTTAGTAATCTATCTAAATAAGAGACTATATGAGTTAGTAAGTTTATCTAAGTATAGTTCCCTATATAAGGCAATAGTATTATAGTAGAGAAGTTACTTATTTGTTAGTAAGTTTGTCTAAATAAGTAACTTTACTATTAGCAATACAACTTCTATAAAAGAAGTTACCCTAACAATAGAGAAGGACAACATCCACACTACAATTTCTAACTAAATAGAAATAGCAAACGCTACGTTAGTAGTAGCTATAGCCTACCTAAAGCATAGTACCTTATCCTTTAATAGTACTAATGTAATAGAATTCTTAGAGGAATTTAATAGGTAGGCTTCTAATAGTAGTATCTCTATAATAATAAGAGTCTCTATTACCTCTAACTACTTATTAAGTAAGGATAAGTTGTTATTAAGAACTTTAAAGAGGCTTCTTAGATACGTAGATAAGAACTAGGAGAAGCTTAAGTCTAGTATAAAAGAATACTAGAAAGACTAAGACACCTTAGTCTTGATAGGCAAGCGCCCTTACTTAAAAGCCTATATCTAGGAAAGCTTAAGGAGATAGCCTAGACTTAGAAAGTACTATACTTATTTTACTACTACAGCTAATGCGTGTATAACTGATAAGATAATTCTAAAATGTAAGATAGGTATACTATTCTTCTAAGGCTTACTAAGGGAGGATAAAGAATTAGTCCTTTACTTAATAATAGCTACACCTATAGGAGATAACTAGAGTTCTTATAATATAGAGAACACCTATACTTTTCTTAAGAACTATTATAGAAAGAAAGAAAGCATCTAGAACTTATATAGCCTGGATTTTAGTAATTTAAGGTACTAAATATGAAGACTTATCAAGTCTTAAACACTAACTAAGATAGTAAGTAATATAATAATAGTAGTAAAGGAAGTATAGTTGGTTTAAGAGAAGAAAGAATCCTCTAGACTAGACGACGTAGACCAAGAAGTAGACAATCTTATTAAGGCTATAGGTAAGATAAAGGTAATAGCAAAGTTACTATAACTTCTAATAACTTACTTAAGCACTTCTTAACTACTAGAGAAACTAAGTAATTACGCTTATTTTATGTTTTATATTTTAGATTGCCTAGCCTTTATAGAGTAGAATAAGAGTTTATATATCAATAGTTTTCTACTTAATACGTCTACAAGAAGGAGAACTATATAGTAGGGTAACCAAGAAGTCTATATTACTTATAAGATATATAGTAAGGTTAACTATTATTTATAAAAGTGTAAAATATACTAAAGACTTCTAAATATAAAATAGGTTAGCTTCTAGATAGATAGCAGATTAAGATAGAGGGCTTACTTTTATATGCTAAGACATAAAAGGTTAGAAGAAGTTAAGAGAACAATCCCTCTTAACTTATAACTTAATTAGCTTAAGTATAAGATTTAAGAGATTTATAATATAATAGATAATATGATAGATTAACCTATATTAGTAGTCTATCTAGAGCTCTTTAATAGAGAAGATTCTAGGCCTGCTATATAGCTAAGAAGGCTAAAAGCAATAGGGACCTAGGCAACTACAAGTGCTAACGTTATAGAGGGGATAAGAGAATTCCCTACTATAGAAGACTTAGTTAGAGACCTATAGAGGTTCTAGGAACAAATAATTATTCTAGAACCTAAATAGAACTACTCTCTTCAGAATATAGATATAGGTTTTATTATATTAAATTAACAAAACTCTATGCCCAAGAATAGTTTTGTCAATTTGAATATAGCTTAGCGTATATGTACTAATAATATAAACCTTATTAACTCTAAGCAAAACCTAGATAAAGTTTAAGATAGGTATATCAAGAAAAGAGGAAGACTAAGAAAGCTAGCAAGAAATAAAGACTTAGAAAGAGAGCTCTCTTCTAGTATAGTAACTAACCTAAATAGGTTAGCTCTAAGGGAGGACTAGAGAAGTAAGATAATAGAAGATAATAGGAATAAGTTATAGCTAGAAGATTCGTACTTACAACAGCCTTATAACAATTTGTTTTTGATTATCTAGCTATTAGAGAACTTTAAACCTAAGAACTTATTAGCAGACTTGTAATGGGCGGGCCCAACGGGCCGAGTGTACGACTACTTACGCCATCCATAGCCAAAAAGGCAGTAACAAGACTTCAAGCTTCTTGAAGTCCAGGTAGTCGTATAGATATACTCGATCACACACACTTAGGCGTAGCCTCTTACAAGACTTAAGTTATCTATAACCTAAGAAGAAGATAAAGAGATAAAGTTTATAGAGGAACTAAGTAACGTAGAGCTCTACGCACTCTAGTAGTCTTAGCCGAACTACATTACCTCCTTACTACTATAGTAGAAAGTTAGAGGCGTTACTATATCTAACTTACTTAGAAAGGAAAATATCTCAGAATCAATATAAGAAATAATAAAAAAAACTTGCCTTAGGTTAACTATGCTATTAGCACTAATACGCCTACTATAGATAAGTAGCTAGATGCTAAGTTAAGAACAAAGAACCTAGTATTTATTTAGCTAATCATAGATGCTAAGTTATAAGGTCTAAACTTAGTAGCTAGCAGGCTAATTATAGACGCTAAGTTAGAAATAGAGAACTTAATATTCATAACTTTTTACTTATAAAGCTAATAGCCTATAGTCAGAGTAAGAAAAAACTTCTTAAAATACTATATATCATAAGTGTATAATACTCAAGCTAAAGTTTAATATAAAACATATAGTATAGGTGACTCCTAGGCAGAGGAATAGAGTTATCTCTCTACTAGCCTAGTTAGAGCATAGCAGAGATGTGCTAATATAGCGTTTATATAAACTAAATTACTAGAATGCTAAGTTATAGTAAATAAATATGCCCTAAAGTGATTAATTAGTACTAAGGCGTAAATAAATATCCTACGCTTAAGTGCTATTAGAGCACTGACGATCTTATACAAAGTAATAGAATAGAAGCTAAAAAACCCCCTTAAAGTACAATATCTATAAATAGCATATATAATGCGTTTATTAGTATAGCGTATAATATCCTAATTTATATGAACGCTATAACTATAAGAACATCTTTCTATAGTATAGCTAACGTTATAAGGTCTACTATCTTTCGTAGAGCTTAGTATGCTAGAGTAAGGATTTCTATTTTGTATAAAGCTACTAGGCAAGTTATGTGCTAAGTGTTATCTAAAGATAGCCTTAGGAATATAGTATTTATCGCTTCTAATTCTATACTCAACTATCTAATATAAGTTACTCTATATAATCAATAGAATATAGATTTAGAGAATAAGTAGTAGACTTATAAGGTAAGGAACTAAGTCTACAACTAAGAGCTTTTATAGAAATTAACACGCTAAGCCTAAGCTATAAAAAGCAAAATAGAGTATCTATAAAGCACACTTAAGAAGCAACTTGAATTAAAGATACTATTAGCTTAGGAGAATATAGAGTAGTGTTTACTTGAGAAGAATAAGGCTGACTTCTCTAATGGAAAGCCTAAGTCCTCACTTATGCTATAGGATAGTCTAAAGAACTAGCATAATAGTAAAACCTAAGCTAGTATTCTATAATATATGAAATCAATTAGCAATAGATATAGAAAAGGTATTTTAACTACCTTTAGTAGAGATGTAACTTATACATAATATATAAGTCAACTACTAAAAAGGTTAGGCCTATAGACTTTCTAAGAATAGAGGCACTAATAGAAATTAGAAGGGAAGATTAGAAGGAAATTGTAATCAAGTAGTACTAGTAACAAAGTAAAACCGAAGGACTAGACCTAAACCTTTATAATTATATCTTTAAACTAAGATATATAAAGTTTCTAAAAGGCATCTGCCTTACTTTAAAGAGGATCTAGGACCTACACGTAGGAGAACAACTAACACTATAAGAATAGGTATTAATAATAGAAATGCTCTTTAATAGAGAAAAAGCAGTATTATAGACGTTCTAAGAATCTAGATATATAACTATAGACATATGCCCGCCTTATAGGATAAGAACAATACTATATAAGGCTTAGTAAGCACGTGGCTTTGCTGTTCTAAAATCTCTAAAAGAAGAAGTATTCTAGATGGTTAATAAGTGCCTAGATTAAAAGACGCTTAAACAATATAATAGCTAATAATATAACCTATAGCATCTAGTCTCTAAGAAAGATAGAGGATACTGCTTAATCAATAATATATAGATAATAAATAAAGTATTAATATAGGATATAAACCTACTACTAACTATAGATAAGTTCTCTAAGCGTTATACTAGATGCAAAATTATTTCTTTGATAGATCTATTCTTGAGATATAATTACATAACACTTTATTTAGATAGTAGAGACTTTACTATGTTCTAAACACCTATAGAGCTAGTGCGGTCCTGCACTATAGTTATAGAAGCTACTAACTTAGTAGCTACCTTTTAGCGCGTTATAATAAAGATACTTAAAGATTATTAGCTAGAAACAATGCCTTTTATAGAT